AGGAAAGTGACTAATATTGCCTTGTAACAGTGTATTATACTTTTAGCATGTGTCTCCTCATTATACTGTAAGCTCTGTAGGAGTAGAAATTATTTTGACCCCAATAGTATCTGTTCAATAAACATCTGCTCAATGACTGAATGCGTGTACTAGATTCAATCAGTTATCTGGTCCTGTTTATGTTTATTCGTACAGTAGGTACCCCTAGTGTTATGGCTTATGTCTAGATGTCCCCCCAAAGACTCCTATGGTCACAGGTGAGACTTTTTCAGGGGTGGTTGTATCTAGAGTATGTGATGCTATGAGGGGCTGGGGATTTAGCTCAGCGGCACAGCGCCTGCCTGGTAAGTGCAAGGTCGTGAGTTTGATACCCCGTACTGGAAAAAAAAAAATGTGATGCTATGAGCAAATTGATTCATGGTGCAACACTAAGATCAAGGACACTATGATTAAGGGTTTGAGCACTACCTGCCCTAAGATATAAAGGGTAGAAAGAGCTGTGGTCATCCCCCGTTGCTTTGCCACCTCCTGCCTATCATAAGCTGTTTTTCTTCTGTGATGCCTGTCTTCCATGTCACCCTGCCTTGGAACCAGCCAATTATGGATGAGAACCTCTACAAATCATGAACTAAATAAACCATTCCTCCCTTAACTTGTGGGTGTCTTGTCTCAGCAATGAGAAAAGTTAACTAAACCAGAATTTGGTACCAGAGATATGGAGTCATTGCTATGACTAAACCTGATCGTGTGGTTTAGGAGCCCTTGGAACTGGCTTATGGGAAGAGTTAGGAAAGGTTCAGAGATGCTGGCAGAAAAAATACAACTGGAACAACTAAGGCTATTCTGTATGGGAGATGCTGGTTAGGGCTCAGAAGACCAGAAGGTTGACAGAAATTCTGCTAGTTAAGACCAAGCTTGGAAGGTTTTTGCTGGGAAGAAGGACAGCATTGGCTTGTGGGATCCAGATGATGTGTATTATGCCTTGGTAGAAAGTTTGTCTGCATTTTTCGCTCTTCTTCCTCCTCCTCCTCTTCCTCCTCTTCTTCCTCCTCGTCCTCCTCTTCCTCTTCTTCTTCTTCCTCCCCCTCCCCTGCTAAGCCTGGCCCTCAGGCCTTACCCAAACCCGCAAGCCCCAAGAAGCTAGCCCTTGGGGAGTGGAAGTCCCACAGTCCCAAAAAACCAATAGACCCCTTACAAGACTCCCGGTCCCTGAGCTACTCACCTGTGGAGCATCAGCGTCCCTTACCACAGGATGAGCAGAGCAGCAGTGAGTGGGTTTCCTGAAGGGGCCAACGTAGGACAGCCACTCTCCAGGCCACAAGTGCAGAAGAGAGACACCTAGCCCTCAGCCCATGCGACACCGCTCATCCAGGTCTCCATAAATATTTCAGGGAATTCTACAGTGGCCCATCTCTGGAGCCACAGGAAGTGCCTCTCTCTTCCCCAACAGAGTCGTGGGAGGGGTCTTTGTCTGCCCTGCCAAATCCTGTCAGCATCTTGGGGGGAGGATTATCTTTTCTCTTTGTTCCTGTGAAATGTTAATCTCTGTGAGTTTTTCCTGGTTCATGTGTTTTGGGGGGTTGGGGGTGGGAGGGAATGTGGATAGGAGCTCAGGGAGGGGAGGATGCAGTTCAGGATACCTCAGCCTGAAATCAGAAAGGTCTTGGGAGTTTGGGGCCCCCTTAGATCCTAAGGGTCATCGTTTGGTGCTTGAAATTGTATGAGGTGTTCTTGGAAGGAGCAGTTTGATTTATTTAGTTGGCCCCTGACTGCCCCATGAAGTTGTGAACCCTCCTCCAACTTTTCTTCACGTTTCTTAAAAGGCATTTTGGTTTTTTAAAATCTGTACAGCAGGGGCTGGGGATTTAGCTCAGTGGCACAGCGCCTGCCTGGCAAGTGCAGAGTCATGAGTTTGATTTCCGGTACCGGAAAAAAATCCAAAAAAAAAAAAATCTGTACAGCAAGAGGAACTTTTTCTGTCAAATAAAAATGAGCAATGCAAAAAAAAAAAAGTTTGTCTGTATTTTTCATATGTCCAGACTTTGCCTGAGACTGAGATTAAGGGAAGCAAACTAATTCACGTGGCAGAAGAAATTTCAAGGCAGTCTAATGTTGAGGTGGCAGCATGGCTACTGTTGGGAGCTTTTAGCCAGATTTATGTTGTGACTCAAGAGCAAAGAGCCCAGCAGAATGATTCAAAACACTGTGAATTTGGCCAGAAAGGAAGCGCCAGTAAAACTGTGACTTGAAAAGATGGAAGAGAGGAGAAATTGGTCACTGAAGAGACTAACAATAACAAACCGAGTATTCCAGAAGACAACAGAGAAGATGGCCTGAAGACATCACAAGAAGCAACAAGAAGCCAGGCGTGGTGGCACATGCCTGTAATCCCAGCACTTGGGAGGCTGAGGCAGGAGGATCATTGAGAGTTCGAGACCAGCCTGGGCAACAAAGTGAGTTCAAGGCCAGCTTGAACTGCATAGCAAGACCCTGTCTCAAAAAGACAAAAAAAAAAAAAAAAAAAAAAAAAAAAAAAAAAAAAAGCAGCAACAAGACTCCTGCCTTGGCAGCCTCAGAGTTACAAAGGTGAAAGATTTTGCTTTGAAAAGAGAGCCCCAGCTAGGCACGTTGGTGCATGCCTGTAATCCCAGCTCTCAGAAGGCCAGGACAGGAGGATCACTGTGAGTTCAAAGACAGCCTAGGCCACATAGCAAATTCAAAGCCAGTCTGAACTACATATGGGTCCCTGGCTCAAAAAAAAGAGACAGAGAGAAGGAGAAGAGAGCTCCAGAGCATCATGTTTCAGAATGGCAATTGCCTAGGGAAGTTCTTCCTTGGGATTTGGTTCATAGGCACTCAACCCCTACAGCCAAAGAAAGAAGCGGAGGAGCTACAATTACATTGAAGTGCCACAGGGGCAGAGTCACCCAAGCACTTCGGAGTTCACATCTTGCTACAGATTGCCTCAGATTCTAGGCACAGAACTATAGGACTTAATGTTTGCCCTGCTGAATTTTGGGCTTGCTTTGGTCCTGTTCCTTTGTATCCCCTATTTGTATCTTTTGGAATGGAAATGTCTGTCTTGTGTCACTGAATGTTGGAAGTGTTTAACTTTCTTTTCATTTGTACAGGGACTCACAGTAAGAGTTTACCTTACATCTCAGAGGAGACTTTAGACTTGGAGTTTCCAGCAATGCTGAAACTCTATAAGATGGACTAAATGCCTTTTGCATAAAAGGATGTTCATGAGTCTTTAGGGGGCCAGGAGTGGAATGTTATGGCTTGTGTATAGATGTCCCTCCAAAGCCTCATGTGGTCATAGGTGGGGGCTTTTTCAGTGATGCCTGGATCTAGCATGTGTGATGCTGGAACTGATTCATTGTGCAATGCTAGGATTGAGGGCATTAGGATTAAGGGTGTGAGTACTACCTGCCCTGGAATGAGGTGTAGTTGTCCCTTGTTGCTTTACATCCTCCACCAACATGAACTGTTTCTCATCTGTAATGCCTATCTGCCATGCCACCCTACCCTGGACCCACCTGATTATGGAATGAAACCTCTACAATCTGTGAGCTAAATAAATCTTTCCTCCCTTAACTTGTGGGTGTTAGGTATTTTGCCTCAGCAACAAGAAAAGTAACTAAGACACCTAACCCTGGAAGGTCAGGGTTTGTGTTTGTCTGGGTTTTGAATTTGAGTGGGAAATGTTATGTGTTGTATATACCCAATACAGCTAAAGCAAAGGCTGGAGGATTCAAACTATCATCAGATTCTCCCTAGGTCCATGACGTTTAAAGCAGCTGCATCTGTATTCCCCAGCTAGCTCATCCTTTGCCTGCCAACTGCCCCCCTCCCAGCAACTACAACAGTCTCTCAACCAATTTTGTTCTCCACAGATTCATCTCTGGGTTTTGGTCATGGCAATCTTTAAAAGCACAAATCCAGGTCACCCTCCTGTCCAAAACCTTGCAAGATCTGTGTAATGCCCTTGGCAGCGTCCAAACTGCTAGGGTGAAGAGAGCATTGTAGTCTGCCTGCTCCTGCATTCTCAGATGTCCTCACTGGGCCCCCTCTTCTTCCCAAACCCATCACCCAGCAGCACAGGGTTGTTTGGGGTTCCCAGATTATATCAGGGTGTTTTCTCCTGTCCTGACTCATGCACCATTCCCTTCCTGTTGTACCAGCCCTGTCCTCTGCATCTAGAAACGCCTACTCAGATGTCTCTTTGGGACTAGGTGCCCCTCCTCCGTGCTCCCATGGGTCCTGCTGTCCCCAAGGACAACACAAAAGACATTGAACTATAGTTGCTTGGTTACCAACTATGTCTCCTGCCCTCTCACTTTGAAGGCAATTTTTTTTTCCCCTAGCCTAGTGGGTGCTGGCCCAAGGTAGGATGTTTAGCAAAGATTTGTTTCGTGTATGAATTAATAAACTAATGACAAAAAAAAAAACTAATGACAACTCATGCCTTGTTCATGAGTTAAAAAAATGTGTGAAATGTGCCAGACATGGTGGCACATGCCTGTAATCCCAGAGCTCAGGAAGATAAGGTAGGATGGCAAATTCGAGCCCAGCCTGGGTAATTTAGGGACTTAGCTAGATCCTGTTTTAAAACAAAAAATTTAAAAAGGTCTAGGTATGTAGCTCAGGGCAAAGGCCCTGGGTTCAATCCCCAGTATCAAAAAAAAAAAAAAAAACCACCAAAATTGTGAAATGAAAACATAAGAAACTGGAAGTTCGGATCCTGCGAGAGATGTAGAGATTAGGGAGTTTAGAGATAAGTAAAGGGGTCGCGCCCACCCTTCAACTGATTAATACGGAAGACAAATTCCTTCAAGCTTTTGATTAGGAGGAAGTCGTCCCTGTAGGGCCGACCCCTAGGGCGGGTCCAAGGTTGGTCCCGCCCCCTAGCCAATGGGAGGGCGTGTTGCCTTCCGAGGCTCCGCCCTGCCAGTTCAGGGCGCGAGACTACACTTCCCGGCGCACCTCGCGGCCGGGGCAAACGAACAGCCGGAAGTGGGGTGCGCGGGGTCTAAGGGCACGAGGGAAGCGACGGGTGGGACCTAGGGCGGGCTTCCAGGTGAGCCGGTGGGCCGGGGGTCGCGGGCATGGCTGAGGCCCGGAAGCGGCGGGAGCTGCTTCCCCTCATCTACCAGCATCTGCTGCACGCGGGCTACGTGCGCGCGGCGCGGGAAGTGAAGGAGCAGAGCGGCCAGGTGAGCGTTCGCGGGCCGCGTGCGGGATCCGGAGAGCGGGGCTTGCGCCCACAGCCCGGAGACCTGACTGGCGCCGCGTCCCGCGGGGCTCCGGGCCGAGGCCCAGGGGTGCGGGAGGGATCCGTAGCCCTTGCCTACCCTCTACTACTTCCAGCCCCCCTCGGCCTCAGTTTCCCCTTCCGTGTAGTGGGCGGGCCGGAACATGTAATCCGACGCTCAGGGCTTTAAAATTCCCGAGCCCCTTATCTCCACCACCTTCCTGGTAGTGGCGGTGCTAAGTTTTCTAAGTCTCCAGCCACGTGGCCCGGCACGGCCCCCTTGGACCGCAGAGGTGGCTGTGGGTGTCGCGGTGAGTAGCGGCTGGTTCCCCCAGGAGCCCCAGGAAGAGGGAGGCCGTAGTTGTTGATCTGGAAGTCAGGCTCTTGGCCGTGCTCGGTACAGATACGACGGCTTTGGGAAATGGAAAGTTCTTTTGCTTTTGGTTTCCCGTTCTTCATTCATTCTGCAACTGTTAGTCAGGTGCCCAGGGTGCTGGTGCTAGAATGGAGAGCGCCGCCCTCAGCCTCCCGGGTCTCACAGCGTGGTAGAGGCTGCACGCTGAAGAATCACAGAAGGGACTGCGCCAAGCGCTGTATTAAGTAGTGAAAATGAGGGGCCTGGGATACTAAAAGAGGGACGGCAGAGTGCCCCTGTCAGGACCGCTTTCCTGGGGAAGTGACAAGGGATTGGAGTCTGAAGGAAGGGGAGGTCTTGCAGGCAGCGGTACAGACCCCTTGGCATTAGGGAGGGCTGCGCATGGGCACCGTGGCCTCCAGAAGGGTCTGCTGTGGCTGAAATGTGAGGTGCAAAGCCCATGATTGCCAGGAGGGTGGTGGCAGAGGCTGGCCTGAGCTCTGGGCAGTTTGGCCTTTGCCAGAGGAGCAGTGGTAACCTCGCTGGGGAGGTGGGTATTGGCCAGACTAGACAGTATCAGTTTGGCTACAGTAAGGCCAAGGATCTCCTGCAGGAACCAAGGGTGACAAACCCTAAGACTCAATCTGTGGTTTTCCCAGCCTTTTGGAACTCAGTTCCCTGCTTACTCCAGTTCTATCGCCTAGCAGGTAAGAGGAGCAAGAGAGTGCCCATCTTCATTAGAGCGCATGCCCAGGCAAAAGTATCTCACCCTTCTGTGCCCTCTGGAGCAAATCGCCTAGCAGGAACAGACAATGACAGATACAAATGGCAGCCCGCAGTACAGTACACTAGTCGATGGTAGGTGCTGGCTGTCACAGGAAGGCAGGCAAGCGGGAGAAGGAATGTCGGAGTCCAGGCCAAAGTGGGGAGTAGGGTGGTCAGGGAAGCCTCACAGACGCGGTGACATTGGGGTAGAGGCCTCAGGAAAGGAGGGAGTAAACTGTGGTTAGCAGAGGAGAGAGCATTCCACATAGCAAGAATGGCAAAGGCCTGTTGCGGGATTGGGGCCTGACACATCCAAGGACAGTGAGCAGATCCTAGCTTACTGTGCTGTCACTGTCAGAGATTGTCTCCTTCAGCCTGATAGCAGCCTGGAATGTGGGTCTTGCTGTTTTCGTGCGAGATCCTGAAGTCTGGAGAAGTAGAGAGATTAGCGCAGCTAATCTGCCTGACTCCGTGTGGGCCTCTTGGCCACCACTCTTCTCAGATTGCTGCCACCCTCTGTTCCTGCCACACTGTTCATAAGGCTCCGTGGAGCACTTGACACACTGGGTTCTTGACATTCACAGAGAGCAGGTCCTCTGGCCTCAGCTCCAAGGGTCTGGTTCTACCTGGTGGCTTCTGCTTTTGCCAAGAAGCTGGTACCCTGTAGGCTTAATCTGTTTCCAGCAGACAAGTGTGCTGTGCTCACACCACCTGGCTGCCTCAAGTGTCTGGGCTCTGGGGAGTGCTTTGGGGAAATGACGGACCAGACCCTTGAAGGCTTTCTGAAAGGTCGGGCTGGGGTGGGAGAAGCCTTGTCTTGGGCTAGGGGGACTGGATAAATAAATGCTAGCTTGGAACATTCCAACTCCAGCCTCTAAAGAAGGTTCCTCTTACCAACATGGTGTATCACAAGGTTTTTACCTGGAATCGCTTGCCTTTCTTGTCCCTGGAGGATTTTGAATGTTGTTGGCAGGGCCATGCAGACATACTTCCTGGAGTAGGAAGATCCTGCACCAGACCACCTGTCAGAGAGAGGTGAGCCCAGGAGGATCTTTACTGTGCAGGGAGCTGATCACAACTCTCTCTTTACTTCTTGCAGAAGAATTTACTGGCTCAGCCTTTCACCCTTTTGGACATCTATACACACTGGCAACAGTAAGTTTGGGGAGGCTAAAGGGTGGGATTGGGATACCCCAAACAGTTAACTTGGAATAAGCTAAGGTTCTAGTCTGGGCTAAGGAGTCTCCCCATAGCCCACCATGGACATTCTTATTGTGCCTCAGGAAGCCAAGTCAGATCAAATGTGTGAGTATCTAGTGGTGGAAGGGGACATTGAGAGCTATGATCTCTTAAGAACAAAAGCTTCAGCCGGGCGTGGTGGCACACGCCTGTAATCCCAGCACTCGAGAGGCTGAGGCAGGAGGATCGTGGCAAGTTTGAGACCAGTCTGGGCTACAAAGTGAGCTCAAGGCCAGCCTGAACTGCATAGCAAGACCCTGTCTCAAAAAGACCAAAAAAAAAAAAAAGAACAGAAACTTCTTGCCAGGCTTGGTAGCACACACCTTTAATCTGAGCACTTGGGAGGCTGAGGCAGGACGATTGCCACAAGTTTGAGCGTGAACTATGTAACCCAGTGGGAGCCACGGAAGGGCAAGGTACGGAGTGAGGTTACTGCACCATGGGAGGGACAGTTGGCCCTGTGGACATCCTCATCAAAGAGGACGATAGCAGTTCCAGGATATTAGTGGTGGAGGAAACCACACCTGCAGGTGGGTTAGAGAGGAAGGATCTAGGTGACTCCCAGATCTGGCTTACACGCCTAAGTAGAAGTGGGTGGGTGCATGGGACTAAAAGGGAACCCAATATGGAGGGAAAGATTCCAAGGACATGTTAACCGTGAAGTGCCTATGAAATATATTTGGTTGGTTTTTGTGGCACTGGGAGATTTAAACCCAGGGCCTTCACATTGAGCTGCATCCCCAACCCCCTTTTTATTTTCTATTGTGAAACGAAGTTTCCCCAGGTTGCTAAATGGCCCAGTCTGGGCTGAACTGTATGATATTCCTCCCTCAACCTCCCAGAGTGCTGCAATTATAGGTGAGCACCACCACACCCAACTGAAACTTGTAAAACTTACAATTTTCCAAGGAAGCAGAACTAATCCAAGGGTGCATCAACAGAGAAATGAATACTGGAGGGGGAGAGATATGTTCACAGCCACTGGGGGAGTGAAGTACCATATAGCACACACCTATAATCCCGGCACTCTGAGAGGCTAAGGCAGGAGGATCACAAATTCAGGTCCTCCCTGGACTACTTTGCATATTAAATTTTCAAAAATCAAATCAGGGGTGGGGATTTAGCTCAGCGGCAAAGATCCTGCCTGGCAAGTGCAAGGTCGTGAGTTTGATTCCCGGTACCAGAGAAAAACCAAAAAAAAAAAAAAAAATCAAATCAAATATAAAAAAAGAATGAAGCTGGGCACGGTGGCACATGCCCATAATCCAAGCACTCTGGAGGCTGACACAGGAGGATCACTGTGAGGTTGAGGCCAGCCTGGCTACCTAGTGCAGCCCTATCTCACAAAGACCAAAAAAATAGAAAAGAATGAAAGAAAGGATGGTTGTGTTCCTCCGCGTCCACTGTCTTGACCATAGCTGCTAGGGAAGTGAAGGATCTGTCCTGGGAAGCATGGTAGTGAGTATTGGTCAATGCAGAGGCACCACTGTATGCATATCTTTGAAGACAAAAGAAAGCAGGGTAAAGGGGGGCTCTATGTCCATACCTGCTTTAGAAAGACAAGTCTTGGGGCTGGGGATTTAGCACAGCAGCACAGTGCCTGCCTGGCAAGCGCAAGGTTGTGAGTTCTATTCCCAGTACCGGAAAAAAAACTAACAAAAAAAAAGACAAGTCTGTGCTTCTGAATACAAATACTTCATCATCTGAGCTACTCAAACTTGAAGTAGGCACCTGGGAATGGTGAGTTGCCTGTTATCAGTAGCGTGTGAGCCGAGACGGGGATGGTGTGGAAGGGACCCAGTTCCTGGGAGAGAGCCAGAGGCACTGAAAACCCTACCAACCTCATTTGTGAGCTGTGTGTTTCTGCTGAGGCGACCCCAGAGCACAAGGCACACTGGTGTATGTCCTTACTATACTTCCTTCCCCAGAAAACCACGTCAGTGAGCTGTGTGCATGCTCTTCTGAGCCACGGGCCCCTTCGTGGGTGGGTACTGAATGGGACAAGCATCATGTACTGAGGCAGCCTCGCTGAGTGCTTGCCACAAATCAGACTCAGTAAGGAGCAGTCTGACCTGAAGCAAGTTTCTTAGCTGGAGCTGTGCTTTCTTATCTTTCTTCTGTAAAAATGAAAACACTGATTATCTCACTGCATTGTAAAGGCTATACGTAGCAGTCTGCATAATAAAGTGCTAGACCCTGCCATTGGGAGCTACTTCCCCATCCCTTGTTTATGGTACACCTACTACAAGCCAGGCACAGTTCTTGACAGAGCAGGAAACAAACCAGAGGAAGAATTCCCTGCTCTTTTGTCTGTATTCGGTTGGGAGGAAAGAGACCCAGCTCATTGATACGTGCAATACATGAAATTGGCTTTTAGCAGATTGCTGACAAGTGGCCTTCCTGGGAAGAAGACACCTGAGCAGCACGTACCAGGCTGTGGCGGAGCGCTCTCCCAGCTGGAGTCGTGGGGCATAGACAGTGACTCACTGTGACAAGAGGGTAGGGTCAAAGGAGGTGATACTTAAAGTCCAGGGGGCTTGACCCTCTGGGTCCTTGTCCTGCCAGTGCCCACATGTACTCCTCACACCTAGGGGTTCCTTTCTCAAGACGTGTGAGTAGTCAGGCACTCAGAATCTCAGCTCTCGGGATCCTGGGCAGCAGAGTGGGCAGGGAGGCTCTGTCCCATCTCTCTCCCAAGGCAGAGCTGACTGAGGCTGGGCAGGCTCTGCTCATGCAGGCAGTGCTTAAAATGGGTTTATTAATACTGGGTATTTTGCAAGTTTTATAGATCTCTTTTTCACGTAGCCTTTTTTAAATGGAAGAAGTAAGCCATATTGCCACCTGTGTAGTTCCAGGTGAACAGTTACCAGAAGGCTGTTGGGTTTAATAAGTTTTTATTGCAGGAGACCGGGCTGTGAGTATGTGTGTGTATTCACGTATGTCCCTGCATGGATGTGGCTGGGTCGCCTATCCCCTGGGCTGCCCCCTTCAGCCATCCCTGTTGCGTTAAGGAGCAGCCTGAGCCATGGGGACAGGGGCCACATGCATTGGTCACAAGAGGCCCTCAGTCTCCCATTTGGGGCTCAGTCCCCCATTGTCTTATCTTCCCTTCCTCCATGGACTTCAGATAACCATAGCTGGGGACTCTGCGCCCCATGCCCCTGCCACCCTGCCCTCAGGTTAGGCTTCCATCTGGGACCTGCCCAGACAGGCTGAGGCTGGGAGCAATGGTAGATGGGATGGTGTTGTTGGGAAGCAGCTGTCATCCTACAGGCCACACCCGCTCCTCAGAGCTCTGAGTATGGGACCCAGTGCCAGGGTCTAAAGGACTGTTTCTGCCAATAAGGGTTCCATTGACAGCAAGGGGAGGAAGCAGCAGGGAGGCCAAGAGGTGAGTGAAGGTACCTAAATCTGGGCAAGAAGCTGGGAGTTGTACTTTCTTATCACCACAGAGAAGTGTGCCTCTACCCTTTGCTTGGAACTTCAGGTGGGCTGAAGCCCTTGGAAAGTGACATGGGAAGTCTCCGGGTCCTGCCTTTTATTGCTCAAGAGCCCAAAGGGCCACAGAGGATTCCCTGGGACAAGAGCTCTGCCCCATCAACCCCGAGCCACCATCCTGCAGGGCCCTGGGAGGCAGGGAAGAAGCTGACTGGAGGAGACTCTCTCCTGCCTTTTATTTAAGCCAGTGTTCTCTGTTCCTGCTTATAATACAGCTTTTGTTTTTAAGAGTTAAAAAAACAAAAATGAATGTGAAGTGCTGAGGGTACTGTAGTCAGCTGCCAGCCCGCCTCTCCCTTTGCTAGGCCTTTCTAGGTAGTGGGGAAGCAGGCTTGAAGTAAATAAATAACAGGAGATTCAGAGAAGTGCTCAAAAGGAAGTGAAACCAGATGGCAAGGGCGAGGGGGCATCAGTGAGGGCTGCTCTGAGGAGGCCGAGTTAGGAGTTAAAGGACAAAGACCCAACCAGCGAAGAGGGCACAGCCCGGGCAGCACGCTCTTGGGATGGAGGACCCTGGGTGGGCTGCGCAGTGCCTCTGTGGGCCGGCCCTGGTTGCTAAGTGACTGCTATCTACAGCTATTACGTGACACTGTTGGTCACTGGTGATTATCTTCAAGACTTTGGAGGTAACTTTACAATTTGAGGATTGTAAAAGCATTTTAAAGAATAAGTGGAGAGGCAGAACACAGAGTTGTATCCACATTATGTTGTCATCACTATTTAAACTCTGTACACATTTCCTTTGGGAGCTGGGAGGATAGGTGAAAGTCTGTCTGCTCAAGTCTTGTGGAGGTGTCCTGTCACCCAGTTGGTATAATCAGTCCCCCTTGACCTGCAGAACCTCAGAACTTGGCCAGAAGCGGAAGGCAGAGGACGATGCAGCGCTGCAAGCCAAGAAGACCCGAGTGTCAGACCCCCTCAGCAGCTCTGAGAGCTCCGACGAGGAGGAGGAAGAGGCAGAAGCCAAAACTGCCAAAGCTAGTAAGAGCCTGCCTGCTGGGCGTTACCGGGGCTTGGGCTTCCGTGTCAGGCACCCATTGCGGCATCTTTGGATTAGAGTTACGTTGTGTCCTCAAGCTCTGGGAACCCAAGGGTGATCCACACACCCCAGGTGGGCCCTACACTGCATGCGCCCCACCCCACCCCCTAGTGGGCCCAGGACTGCTCCTGGGCAGTTGTGACAGAGGTGAAAGGACCGAGTTTGCTGAAGGCAGCTGGCGCCCCTCTCGGTGTGGTTTTAGAGCATTGGCCGGGTGACCCAGCTCTCTATGCCCTTCTCTTTCCAGACCCAGCTCCCTGCTTCCCCGGCTACAGCCGCAGTGCCACAGCGCAGTTGCTGTCTCTTACGCATCATGTTACCTTTGTTTTTTTTTTTTGGTTATTCAGAAGATACTTTCTAGATTTTAAAGTAGTTTCTGATTATAAAGGAGATTCAGGATTCATTACAAAGAATTCATTATAGAATATTTGAAAATTACTTTGAAAAAAAGTCAGGGAAGAAATCACATATATTCTTGCCACCTACAGTTTGGCACATTATTCTTCCCTTTATTTTCCCTGAGCCTCCTTTTAAAGATGTTTGAGATGTTCCTGGGTATATATTTTATATCTTGTTTAATCTTCTTAAATTATAAATGCAAAACAAATTTGCTTCAAATTCTACCAAAGAGGGCCAGGGATATAGCTCAGCGGTACAAGCGCTTGTCTGACAAGTACAAGGTCCTGAGTTCGATTCCTAGTACAAAAAAAATGCCTTTCCAAACTCTACCAAAGCATGTAGAAGATAAAAGGTTTCCTGCTCCCTTCCCCTATCTCCTTTCACTTTCTACTCAGGGTCTCTGTGAGTGGCTGTAAAGCCGCCTCCTCTGCGTCCACAGTCAGACAAGTATCGATCTGTATGGACACGTGTGCATCCTGTGTTCTACTTAAAGCAAAAATGGTCACATCTCATACTATTTGATGTCATTTTAAAAAATTTATTAGCACATGTTCAGTTACATTTATCATGGACCGTTGGTACATGGCAATATATCTTAATTCTTTTTTTTTTCCTCATGCCCTATCCTTCTACTTGACCATTCCCTCCATTTTTAAAGCTGTGATAATTAGCTGAGATTACACTTCTAAGAGTCCTCATTGAGGGAAGCAGGCTGGAGTGTTCGTGGGCAACGTGACAGGGTGTCTAGTGTTTTCTTCAAAGTAATGCACTATGGGGAAGGGCCGATGAAACAGTAGACAAAAGAAGACTAGCCACAAGTCCATAGTGGCTGAAGTCAGTGCACTTCTTCTCTACTTATACATGTGTCTAAGACTTCATAGTTGCAGAAAGAGGAGAGACAGAGTTCAGTGCTAGGAAAAGGATTCGATATGCTGTTCATCTCAGCAACATTCTCTTTAACAACAACTTAGAAATCTTTTTCTGTCTGTCTGAGATCCCAAGGAGATGATATCTTTATTTCAAGCACTAAAAATCTATTCATCTTAGCATCCAGTGGCCTAAGACTCAAGGTTCAGCTGTTTCCCCACCAGAAGTCATTGGGATTCTCAGCAGCTTTCTCCCTGGCCTGGGGCCAGCAGCTGACCCCTGTCCCTTCTTGCTGAGTAGCCTGTAGGGCCAAGTACAATGGCCTGAGGTGGGCAGTGTCTTGTGGTATAGATGGTAGGGGCATAAGCCAGTCCTTCACCTGGGGGGGATCCTCAGCACATCTTGCCACAGGGTAATTAGAAGGCCCTGGGGGATACTGACACAGAGCTTTATGTTACCCGCTGGACATGGCTGATGGATTACAGAGCTGTTTGCCACAAGTTTGGGCTCAGCCTCAGCCCCTCATACCAGCGCCAGGCAGCCAATAGCAGTTGCACTGTTAAACGAGATGAAACCTGCCGTCGTCCTTGGATGAGAAAAGCCCATTTGGCTCATCCAGAGAGATTTGTGTCTTGCAGCCCCAAGACCAGCATCTACCAACTCCTCAGCCATAGGGGTAGATTTGCCATCAAGCATGAAAGAAAAGGCCAAGGTGAGTGGGACCACTTTCTAAGTTCTTGCATGTAAAAACTCAAGTGCCCTTTAGGAGGGTCAGTGCCCTATATTAGACAAGAGCATTGCCCATCTTAGACTCAAATCTTAAGTCATGTCACCAACCGTGGGATCTCAGTGAATCCCTCATCCTCTGTGAGCCTCAGTTTCCTTTTCTGTAAGATGCAAATAGCTGGGCATGGTGGCGCATGCCTGTAATCCCAGCACTCGGGAGGATCGTTGCAAGTTCGAGACCAGCCTGGGCTACAAAGTGAGCTCAAGGCCAGCCTGAACTGCATAGCGAGACCCTGTCTCAAAAAAAAAAAAAAAAAAAAAAAAGATGCAAGTGATGCTGCGGCAGTAGGCTGCTGGGTACCATTGTATACCTGTGAAGGGCAGCTTTGTTCCTCCTTTACCTTGCACTCAGCTATTCCCCAGAGAGCTCTTTACCAACCCCAGTACGTTCCATGCATGGCCCTGGGCCATGGAGGCATCAGGGTGAACAACATGCCTATATTTCTGGAACTCTGGTGGCATCGCGTAAATCAGAAACTACCCAGAAAATGAGTGTATTTTATGGTGGCCTATTAAACACTGTTACAGACCTGTAAAGCATTGTATACCTGAAACTGGAACATAGGCAATAATGTATAAAAGTAATTATGAGTAAATGATAATACCACAACAAACCACTGCTTACAGCTTAGCAATTATAATGCAGTTCTCGCAGTGCCTCCAGGAGGGCAATATGCCCAAACTCACCCAGCTAGGAAGCAGCAGTGGGGGTTCTGGGGGGAGCGGGCTGTGCATCCCGCTGAACCAGGGGTGCCTGCCATTCTTACCTTGTGCAGGCAAAGACCAAGAGCGCCAGCAAAACAGTAAACTCTCTGCCACACCTTGCCTCGGGGAAGGCAGTGGTCCACCTCCTTTCTGGGAAGTCACCTAAGAAGTCAGCAGAGCCCTCTGGAAGTATCATCGTGGTCTCAGAAACTGAGGAGGAGGGCAGCATCCAGGCCCTTGCAGCCACTGCCAAGCCTGGTGAGAAGCCCCCACCTCTAGGAGCTAAGCCAACGCTATGCTTTGTTCTGGAACATTCTGGAACTCAAAAGTATGTCTCTATAACAGTGAGGGTCTGCACTTCCCCCAGGTGAGGGAGGGTCAGCTGCAGAGACACCCTTGGGCCTTTTCAGAGGTGTCTAAAAAGCTGGGTGGCAGTTGGAACATGACGGAACGGTGTGGTGGCTTCAGGACAAAACAGAAATATCTGGGTTTAATTCTTTTTCTTGTTGAGACAGGGTCTCACTGTGTAGTTCAGGCTGGCCTTGAAATCACTACATAGTTCATACTGGCCTTGAACTCTGAGCAATCCTCCTGCCTCAGCCTCCTGAGTGCTAGGATTACAGGCATGTGCCACCATGCCTGGCCTGTGAGTTCATTTCTTGTGTAAAATAGACTTTTGCCCAGCTGCCTCTGTGGACCTGATAGTGAATGGAGAGTTTGTAAACTGTCAGGTGCTGGTGCATGTTTCTGGAGTCCTATTCCAGCCCTCAAAGGGCCTCAGATGTACAGGAAGCAGGGCTAATGAGGGTTCCCTTCTTGGCTTGTGGGCTTCTGGAGAGGGTCGATCCCTAGCCTCATGCAGGTGAGGAGCAAATGCTTAGCACCTGACGTGACGTAGCTGGCCCTGGAGAGGGGCGAGGGAGTGTGGGGAAGGTGTACCTTAGTCCCGTGTGTCCACCCTCAGGGACCGTGTCAGCAGGCCAGGCCGACAGCAAGGACACCTCCAGCTCCAGCGATGAAACAGATGTGGAGGTAATCATCACCTATCCTCAAGAGTTACTCTCTCCAAGCCTCTCACTCTGAGAGCCTGGTGGGGTTCAGACACCAGTGGGCCCAGATTCATGCAGCAACTTTGCCCGGAGCTGGGAAGGCTGTAGTTTGGCAGGGGCAGAGGGGGAAGCGAGAGATGTCCAATGCTACTCAGAAGGACCAGGGTTGTGGGTGGGACACAGAGCAAGGCTTCTTGTGAGAGGTGGCCTGGAGCACAGTGGAGGGGAGGAGGCCAGTTCAGAGGAAAAGTTACAGGAGCAAAGGTCTAGGCAGAGGTGTAGCTGTCACATGTGGTCAGGATGAGGCTGCTGAGTGGATTCTGGGCCTGCTGCTGATTAGCAGCCTGCGTAGCAGACCAGGGTTGGCCTGGCCTCTCAGTGCGTGGCCTTGTCTCTTCTCTGAACTTTGACCTGGGAGAGGCCCCCACAGGTCATCTCTTTTATATCTACTAAGAGCCAAACCTTGGGAACACATTGCTGGGGAGGGCCTGCTCCGATGGGGAAAGGAAGGGTCTCTTAGGTATTTCAGCTACATTAGGGATGGCCACTGAGAGAACAGTGGGGAGCCATAGGGACAGCAGTAGGACCCCCAACTCTGATGTGGAGGCACGGGTGGAGGGGCAGAGACCTGCCATTTTATGGATGAGGAGGAAGTAATATGAGATAGGGTCACACGTACATGGGCTAAATCTACTAGAGTCCGGGAGGACTGCCGTAGAAGTTTGAGTTTCATTCTACAGGCAGCGTAAAGCAATGCAGGGTTTCAGGCACAGAGCTAAGGTGGCCTGGTTTATGTTGTGCAAAGACAGTTGGCTGTGGCCTGGATTGAAGGGCAGTGCAGACAGAGTAAAAGCCGTGAGACCGGTAGGGGGAGGGGTGCACATTGAGGTACTAGTGGCAGAAAGTGCAAATGACAGGGATCGAGGTGTCCAGTGCAAAAGCTCTTTTAGAAAGACCAAAAAAGGAAGAAGGGAGGGAGGGAGGCCACCAGCTGGCCAGCTGAAAAGTCAGGGATGGGTTGACCTAGGTACCCAAAGTGCTGTCCCACTTCACCCCGTATCCTGGTGAAGATTGAGACCACCCCCATCTATCCCAGGCCTAGCCACGAGCCGCTCCCCACCTTGTGTCCTCACCTTTGGACCCAAGGTAGAACCAGCAGTAAGGAGGTGCCTGGTTCCCATCACCCCAGGCCTTGCCAAACAGAGGGGGACCACTTCCGCCACTGGAAACCAGTGTTAGACACAGCTCCAGTGGCAGTGAGGACCGGGGAGGGCAGTGCCCAGGTCAGCACAGAGGAGAGGCACTGGCTCACAGCATTGGAAATGCTTTTAGAAGTTGAAGGGAAGGCTGCACGTGGTGACACACACCTGTAATCCCAGCACTAGGGAGGCTGAGGCAGAAGAATTGCTGTGAATTCAAAGCCAGCCTGAACTGTGTAGTGAAACCCTATTTAAAAAGACAAAAAAAGAAGTCAAAAAGAGAGCTCAGCTGGGCGTGGCAGCACATGCCTGTAATCCCAGCACGGGAGGCTGAGGCAGGAGGATCAGTGAGAGTTCAAGACCAGCCTGGGCTACAAAGTGCGCTCAAGGGCAGCCTGAACTGCACAGCGAGATCCTGACTCAAAAAGACCAATAACCAAAAAAAAAAAAAAAAAGGGGGGGAGCTCACAGAAGAAAGCAGTCCTCCCAGGGTATCTCGGCAAGCCAGTGGTGGGCTAGGCCGCTGACCTCAGGATGGCCACCATGGTCAGCCTCTTCGGTTGAAGGCGCACAGACAAGTGCTGTGGCCTGAGGCTATCCATCTCGGACCGGACCGTGTGCCCTGTGGGAGCTGAGCATGGTGGCTGAGAGTTCTGCCCCCAAAGCCAGAGAGCCAGGGGTTCAAGCTGGGGCTGGGGCTGGGGCTGGAGTGTCTTTGTTGACCTGAGAGATTTTTACCTCTCTGGAAAACAGATATAAAGAAGAACCTCATCTCAGGGTGTGGTTTGAAAATTAAATGCCATCAAGAAAGGGCTATGGACTAAAAGCGCCTTCCACAACCTAAAGGAAACGGTTATTACTCATTTTCTGATTTCATGCCCTCATTCCAGGTGAAGTCCTCAGTGAAAGCGCAGGTCAGACCCCCACCTGCCCCTACCAAGGAGTCTTCAAGTAAGGTGGCCCCAAGACCTGGGAGAGTTGGGGGGGTGACGCCCCAGGCCAGAGGAGGTGCCCTCACCCCAGCTGGGAGTGCCATGAAACCAAAAGAGGACTCAGAAAGCAGCAAGGAGTCTGAGAGTGAGGAGGAGCCCTCCGTGGGAACCCCCAGCCAGGTGAGCCCCACTTTCCATGGCCTGGATGCTGGCTGATCCACTGTGTGAGCACCTGTGCTGGACAGGCTGTCCTGGAGCTTAGAGGAGACCAGTGTGTACATGGAGAGCAAGGGCACTGGGCTGGGGGCTTCAGCGCCTGTGGACCATGCCCTTCAGGGCCCTGCAGCAGCCTAGAATCAACAGTTCCCAGGTGGTGGGTTCTGCGTCCCAGTCTGTCATGACCATTCCACTTGCCTTGGTGTCTCTGTCTAGTAAACCGGCTGCTGTCCTCAGCCCAGCTGGCCCTGCTGTGGCAGGACTTCAGTTTTAATTGTCTGGTCCTCTGGCTTTTCTCAACCATACCAGACTCAGAGCAGGCAAACACCGAGGCAGCTAAAGGAGTCAGGCTGGGTGTGGTGGTGCACACCTGTCTTTATCTTCCTCTGCTGGCTGATCTTTCCCCAGGGGAGCAGCCAGGCCTGTAGCCCCAAGGCCCTGAGTACTTGCCAAGGGCAAGCCATAGGGCCTGGAAAGTTGATGGCGTGGGAACAGGGAAGAATAAGAGTGAGGAGGAACGGGCATAGGATGGGGGTGGGCAGGAAGTGACCTCAGAGTGAAGAGGAAGGGGGCTCTGGGGCTATCCTGGGAAGGTCAGCCCAGCAGGGAGCACAGCAGGCTCCCTGAGGAAGGAGCAAGGTGAGAACTGTGACATTCCAAGGACACGGACCCCAGTCAGCAGCTGCCCAGCTCAGTGTTCGCTGTGTGCAGAGTGTCCTGAGGCACCCACTTTCCAGGAGCCCGGGTGTGAACTTTGACAGAAGATCTGCATTCTCCCTGTTGGTTCAAAATTTGAAAAGGAGCAGGCCCCGCAAAGGCTGTCTGGAGTCCTGGCTCCTGAATACAGGGAGATTCTCAGAATCAGAGTCGCCCATTTCCAGGGAAGAGTGGCCAGGAGCTTTCTGGGAAAAAGAAGCCTTCAGCCCCCCTGCTGAAGCCTCAAGGCACACAGAGCCTGAGGAGAGAGCAGGGAGGAGCAAGTGAGGAGAGAGCGCCATGCTGGGGGGCTAGGAGCTTCAGCCCGAAGGCGTCACCAGGGGACTTGAGGAAGGAAAGTAAGCTGCCCGTCCTTTCTCTAGGTGAAGGCATCTGAGAAAAGCCTCCAGGTTAGAGGTGCCTCAGCCCCTGCCAAGGGAACCCCAGGAAAAGGGGTCACACCAGCACCTCCCAGGAAAGGGACCACATGTGCACTGTCTGGGAAGGCAGGGCCCACAGCCACGCAAGCCAAGGCGGGGAGGCCTGAGCAGGACTCGGAGAGCAGCAGCAAGGAGTCGTCTGACAGTGAGGGGGAGACACCGGCTGCCGTGACTGCACTTCAGGTGAGTCTCAGAGCCTCATGCGCCTGCACCCTTCTCACCGCAGGCTGTCTTTGACCCATTTGGGTCTCTGTCTGCACACACCCGTCCTGTCTTCTCCATCTGTCCCTCTTTCACTCAAGGTGAAGCCCTCGGGGAAGACCCCTCAGCTCAAAGCTTCTTCAGGCCCTGCCAAGGAGTCCCCCAGGAAGGGCGTCCCTCCAGCACCTCCTGGGAAAACAGGGCCTACAGCCACCCCACCCCAGGCGGGGAAGGAGGAGGAGGAGGAGGACAGCAGCAGCAGCTGTGAGGAGTCGGACAGTGACGGGGAGACGCCAGCATCTCGGCTCCCAATCACGAACCCTGTCCAGGTGAGGCTAGAGACTACCATGCCCTGTCTAGAAAGGCCTCCTGTGGGCCTGTCCTTCTTCCCAACCTTGCCCTTTGTCACTACCAGGGAAAGCCCTTGGGGAAAAGCCCACAGAGCAGACCTGCCTCCACCATGGGGCTATCCAGAAGGGAACCAGCCCCATGTTCCTCAGGAAGGCAGGGCCAACAGAAACAGAGAGCAGCAGGGAAGAGGAGTCCGATAGCAAAGGGGAGGCATTCTCGGCAGTGACCCTGTCCCGTGTGAGACACCACCACCACCACCACCACCCCCGGCACAAGGGCCCTTCCCTCAGCACAGGAGCTTCACACCGCCTGCTGGCCCCTGCACTGTCCCGCTGCACTCTGTTTGCCATCTTGGCCTCTGTCTACACACCCACCCTGGGGCACCCTCTCCTAATCCTGTGTGTCTCCCTTTAGGCAGACGCTTTGGGGAAGAATCTCCAGGTCAGACCTGCATCGGGTCCCACCCAGGGGCCGCTGGGGAAAGGAGCTGCCCCTAAACCCCCTCAAAAGTCAGCCCCTGTGGCCATTCAGGTCAAGGCTGAAGGGTCCCAGGAAGACTCAGACAGCAGTGATGAGTCTTCTGACAGTGAGGAAGAGGCACCTGCAGCCGTGGCTCCAGCTCAGGTGAGGCCTGGGAGAGGAGGCCTTGTGGCCCCTGACATGGCGCTGGGCTGCTCCTCAGTCAGATGTGGGTTCCGGCTGGTGGGAAGGACAGCACTGGGTTCCTTCCCAGAACAGATGAGCGCTCGGAATCCAGGAGCCTTTCCCAGCCTCTGTCTTCATTGTCCCCACAGGCAAAACCAGCTCTGAAAACACCTCAAACTAAGGGTTCCTCCAGAAAAGGCACCCTCCTCACCCCCACATCTGCCAAGGGCCCCCCAGTGCAAGTGGGCACTCCAGCCCCCTGGAAAGCAGGTACAGTGACTTCTGCCATAGCCCCAGCTATGCCTCAGGGCACCCAGAGCCCAGAGAGCGATTCTTCGAGCAGCGAGGAGGAATCAGAGGGTGAGGAGGCCACGCCTGCGGCAGCCGTGGCACAGGTAAGGCTGTGTCTGCCTGTCCATCCTCGGGGCCAGCCCATCCTCGGGGCCAGCCCCATGGCCTCTCCGGGCTCCTGCAAGACCCTTATCTCTCTCCCACTGATCGTTGCAGACAAAGTCTCTGGGGAAAGGCCTCCAACAGCAAGCTGCCTCAGCAACCACCAAGGGCCCCTCAGGGCAAGGGGCCACCCCAGTGCTCCCTGGGAAGACGAGGCCCACCATTGTCCAGGTCAGAACTGAGGCTCATGAAGAGTCCGAGAGTGAGGAGGACTGTGATGACAGTGAGGCTGCAACTCCACCACAGGTGAGACCTGGGAGGCGCCAGTCCAGACCCTGTGCACCTGGACTCAGTCAGGAGCCTCCTCTGAGCCTCACTTCCCCATTTCTTCCACGTCTCCTCTGCCCAGCAGAGCCCTGGCATCCCCTTCATGGCCCTGAGCGCTCCCATAGATTCTGAAGCTTTTCATAGGCCCTACTGTGTAGCCGCTCTACTGTGTAGCCGCTCTACTAGGCGCCGCCCTGGGCTAGGGCCACAGGTCCTGACCTTCACACGGTCCTCCTGGAAGGGGCATGGACATGTGCATGATTTTTGCAGCAGAGCGAGGCAGGGTTGCAGTAGAGTATGTGCCAGGCAGCAAGATGGGGTCACAACTAGGGATTTTCTGGAGAATGGCATCAGAGTTGAGGAATGAGTCACATGTTGAAGTGGAAAGTAAAGTGGTCCAGGCTGAGAAAACACCAGGTGCAAAAACTAGGAGGAGTGGGTACCTGGTTTGGGTGACACCACAAGTAGCACATCTGGTGGGGTCACGCCTCACTGAAGCAGAGACAGGTGACAGCAGTCTGGAACTGTACTGTCCCAGTCCACATCCTAGCAGGTGATGCAGCCCTGGTACTTTGCTGTGTTGGAAATCCGCCTTCCCTCACGGGTGAGGGTGTGGGCAGGATCTCGCCTGCCACCTCCAGTAGGGCCTGCATCTGGCAAGCCTTCTTCTATCACCTGAGGGTGAGCCAAGCTCATACAGCAGAAGCAAGAGTCGGGTCTCCCAGCCCAGAAGAGCAGTGAGAAGTGAAGATAGCACACTGCCTACACTCACCCGCCCCCTGTTGATTATTTTTAATTGTTGCTCTTGTTTTTTTCAATAACCACTCAGAAATTAGTCATTTCTTTTTTTCCTGTACCAGAGCGCTCATTTCTGGAAAGATTTTTGTCCCCCTCTTGTTGTTGACTTGTGGCTCCCAAGGTCCCAGATTCCTGTAGCAAGGTTCTAGACTATGCTGGCCCTCCCTGAGTCTTGGCCCAGTGGGCTCTTCTGCTTTGCTCTGGCTGCAGCACACACCCCAGACCCAGGGCCTCCCAGCTGTCTTATGCAGATCACGTAACTCTGTCTTCCCACCTGAGCCTCCCACCTGTGCCATGAGGTAGGTGTTTTATTTTTGTTCTTTGAACCATAGGTTATTTAGAAGTGGGCTGTTTAATTTCCAAATATCTGGGATTACCCAGGTTTCTCTCTGTCGTGGATTGCTAACTTCATCTTCTGTGGATCATCTTTTGTCTGGCTTCAGGCCTTTTCTGCATTGAGAATTATGGGACAAGGTGGTCTTCGTGTCTTATGCTTGGTTTTCTCACATCTGTGCTGTACCAACAAGCTCCCCACAGTCCCAGTCTGCACTCAGAGACTTTTCCTCTCGGAAGCCCCGACTCTGCCTTCTGCTTAGTCCTGTACGAGGAAGAGTGCTGGAGGTTGGGGTGTCCTCTGACCCTGACCAGATGACATCTCAGAGTGAGGCAAGGCTGTGACATGCTACCAGATTCCTCACTCCGTTTTACATTAGCAGGGCTTGTCCTCACTCCTGCCAAGGATCTCATTCTGGAAATGTCCCTCTTTGTCACTTTCATCTCTCTAGATCTGTATTTGCTGGAGGCCCTGACAGGCATTGTGGAGACCCAGGATACTGTTTTAAGATTCAGTTAAGCTGTAGAGAACTTGTAACAACAGTGGCTTTCTTCTGTTTGGGTCTGTTATTTTCGGTACCTGGCTCCTACTTCCTGGACTAGGGTGGCAGCTCGAGCTGGAACTCAGCATTTGACCCAACAGGGAGGAAAAAAGATGCATGTTTCTTACCTCCTTTTTATGGGACTCAACTTATATTTCATTAGCCAGCATTTAATAACATGACGACCTAGCCAAAAGGATGCCTAGAAAACAGTTTTGTTCTGGGTGTCCTCATATTAGCTAACACAGTACTAACTTCATCTTCTGTGGATCATCTTTTATCTGGCTTCAGTCCTTTTCTGCATTGAGAATTATGGGACAAGGTGGTCTTCGTGTCTGATGCTTTGTTTTCTCACATCTGTGCTGTACCAACAAGCTCCCCACAGTCGCATACCAGAAAACTGAGTCCTGGTAAGGTGCAGTGATATATTCCAGTCACATGGCTTCTGCCATAGCCCCAGCTATGCCTCAGGGCATGAAGGAGCCAAATCCAAGCCCAGGCATCTTGTACCAGAACAGTAGTCTTGGCTCATTGTATTCCTGCATGTGGCCTTCTTCCCATAATTCCCTTTTCTCCTTCCAGGCGAAAGCCTCAGGGAAAACCCCTCAGGCCAAAGCCAACCTAGCTTCGACCAAGGCATCTACAGTCAAAGGGGCAGCGTCACCTTGTGGAAAACTGGTCACTCCGGTTGCTCAAGGCAAACCAGGGCCCATGGCCAAGGCAAGTGGGGTCAGAAGCCACAGAAGTGTTGGAGGTTGGGGTAGAAAGGAGGACCCCATGGGGACCTCAGCATGTACTAGCCCTGCCTGGCTGGGGCCGCCACCTCCCTGTCACACCACGGTGGAGGCTTAGCCTAGAAGGAACTGTGCTGTCTGCTTCCTCCCCCAATACCATCGTCTGCCAACGCAGGGGAAGTCACCGGTGAGAGCCCCACAGAACAGTACAGCCTCAGCAAGGGGCCAGGCATCTGTGCCAGCTGTGGAGAAGGCAGCGACCGCAGCAGCCCAGGCCAAGGAGGACTCAGAGAGCAGTGATGAATCCTCAGAGAGCAAGGAGGAGGTGCCAACCCAGGTAGAACCCGGCAGGGCCAGGAGCAGCCCTGTGCTGTGCCCTCTGATGGGGTCCAGCATTGTACTGAGGTCTCAGCCCAAACAGGCACAGCCCTATCACACTTCTCCTCCTGCATGCCTTCCCTCAGACTCTCTCCTCTCTCCCTCAAGGTGAAGCCCTCAGGGAAGACCCCTCAGCCCAGAGCTGCCTCAGGCCCTGCCAAGGAGTCCCCCAGGAAGGGCATCCCCCCAGCACCCTCTGGGAAGACAGGGCCTGCAGCCACCCCGCCCCAGGTGGGGAAGCAGGAGGAGGACTCGGACAGTAGCAGCAGTGAGGAGTCAGGCAGTGATGGGGAGGTGCCGGCACTCCGGACCCCAACCATGAACCCTGTTCAGGTGAGGCTGGAGACTACCATGCCCTGTCTGGAAAGGCTGCCTGTGGGCCTGTCCTTGCCCTGTGGGTGCCTTCCTCTGATCTTGCCTTTGTCACTGCCAGCGGAAGCCCCCAGGAAAGACCCCTCAGCTCAGAGCTGCGTCAACCCCTGCCAAGGAGTCCTCCAGGAAGGGCGCCCCTCCAGCACCCCCTGGGAGGACAGGGCTTGCAGCCACCCCTGCCCAAGCGGGGAAGCAGGAGGAGGACTCGGACAGCAGTAGCAGTGAGGAGTCGGACAGTGATGGAGAAACACCAGCACCTCAGACCCCAAACATGAACCCTGTTCAGGTGAGGCTGGAGACCACCATACCTGCCTAGAAAGACCTCGTGTGGGTCTGTCCTTGCCCTGTGGGTGCCTTCCTCTGATCTTACCTTTGTCATTGCCAGCAGAAGCCCTCAGGAAAGACCCCTCAGCTTAGAGCTGCCTCAGCCCCTGCCAAGGAATCCCCCAGAAAGGGTGCCCCTCCAGCACCCCCTGGGAAGATAGGACATGCGGCCATCCAGGCCCAGGTGGGGAAGCAGGCGGAAGACTCGGGCAGCAGCAGCAGTGAGGAGTTGGACAGTGATGGGGAAACGCCGGCATCAGGGACCCCAGCCCAGGTGAGACCTCCCAGGCCTGCTAGCCACTGGCACACATTTAGTGGAAACTTGAAGCGCAGCTGGAAAGAAAGAGCAGATTTAGGCCCTGACTCAAGGTTGGTCAGGTGAAACCTGCTGTAAACACCCTCCTCCTAGGCGCTCCTATGGGTACCAGGGCCTCCATGACATGGGCAGACACCAGTCCCATGGAAGGCTGAGCCAGCCAGTCCCACTAAGGCTCATGAGGCCAAGCCTCAGGCAAGAGCATAAAGAGGTTTGTTGAGGGGCTTGTAGTTTTTCTGCCAGGATCCCAGGAGCCGTGAGGCCTGGAGAGGTCACATCCTGTCCTGGGCCTGGGTCTTCACATAGGCAGGGGTAGCTCCCGAGGGAGGGAGGGCTTATGTAGCTTTAGTGTAAAGCCTGAGCCCTGGGGCATGGGAGAGAAAGCTTGAGAAACTGACTGACACAGTTTGCTTCTCTCAGGATGCACAGGGGACCAGTGCTGGCTGTGTCCTGCAAAGAAATTTCAGGGTGATAGACCTGAGTTAGGGTTCAGGCAAGTGGTGGAAACAGTTGACCAAGGGCTGGTGGGGAAGTGGTAGCAGATGGCAGCTAGCGCTGAGCCTTTGTGTGCAAAGAGACAGCAGGGAGGTAGCAGCTAGGGCAAACTGGAGTAAGAGTTCCTGTCAATTTTGGCCAATCATGACCCTGTAGAAGGACGTGCTTCTTATGGCCATATCTGTTTTTTAAAGGAACCAGAAAGTCTTCCCCACAAGCCACCCCTTAGATTTCTGTTTTCATTGTGCATGACATGAGCACCAAAAACTAAGTTAAATGCTCTCACCCCTGAACTCTGCCTTTGGTACACAGTGTCAGACATGAAAGACGTTTGCTCTTGGACAGTGAAAGACACCTGGCCAGGCGGCAGGAAGGCAGGGCACCCTGCAGAAGCCTTCTCCGTGGCACCCACACTTAGCTAGGAGTGCTACAGCCAGATGCAAACTGTGGCGGGACCACTAAGCCTGGCTGCAGCCTTGTCCCTCTCCTTCAGACCCCAGGCCATCGGCACCATGTCCCCAGCCTTTTGCTGGGTCTGAGATTATACCCTTCAGGTTCTGGAAAACAGATGAGGAGGGCAAAGGTTTGTATTCCTGGGACTGTGAGATACACCAGGCCAGCCATCCCACTCAGCTCATACCCTTGTGTGCTCATTCAGGTCTTTTTCCTGCAGAAAAACATTGCCTCAAAAACTGCCAGAAGCAGTGCCCTGACCCCAGCTCCGCCAGAGAAGAACCCTGAGGGGTCCTCAGAGAGCAGTGATGAGGAGCTGCCCTCCAGCCAGGTAGGCTGCCGCTTGTCCCCGCAGGCCCAGCAGGTGGGGAGCTGGGCTGGGGAGAGGGCAGATCTTGCCATGGGGAAAGCCGTACCACCTTCAGACCGCACTGGACAGCTTCCCTTCCCTGCACACGTCTGTCTGAAGGGGAAGCCCATGAGGCAGCTGCAGAGCACAGTTAGAGCCAGAGGCTTCAGAGCCAAGTGGTGAGAAGCCATAGCCAGCTCCATACCCACCAGCTCTGTGTCCCTGAGCAAAGACCTCTGACCCTTCTGAGGCTGTGTGTCACAGATGTGAGACAAGGCAGTGATGGTGTCCTCGGCACAGTCCCCTGCCTGAGTAGGGCAGGTGTTGGGCCCCATTTGACAGGTTGGAATTGAGGCCTTAGGAGTTGATTTCCTCCAGTGCACATAAAGGGGCTGAGGAAAGGCACAAACACTGTCGCCCAGCTGCCTGTATCTCCTTGTCTCCTGTCTGAGGCCAGCAGCCTTCCCTGTGAGACTGTCAGTCCTGCAGCCTCACGTGAGGCCCTACCTGGCACAGGCACCTGTGGCAGCTTTGCCAGCTCAGCAGCACGCACCCCTTCCCAGAGCAGGCCCTCTCGGGTGATACTGAGCCTACCTTGTCTCTGACATCAGAGGCTCGAGGAGCCAGCTGGTGTGCTTCTTTAGAGCAAGTGGCACTGCCCCTTGTCCTCTCCTAGCCCCACACCCCTGGAAGCTCCTGCCAGCCTCACCAGCGATGCTGGAGTCCTGCAGCCCTAATAGCAGTGACACCGCCAGCATGGCCCGTGCCACATACCTGTCAGCCCATCCATATCTGGGCGAGGCTCCTCGCACACCTCCTGTGTAGGGGTGCTCACTGCCTTTCTTAAAGAAGGGATTACAAAAATAATGATGAACAATTACAGCTACCATTATTGATCTGTCCTGTGTGCCAGGCACTGTGAAGCCTGGTATTTCATTATTGTATTCAGTTCCCCCAAGTACACAGGAATGAGCCTTAGAGAAGTTGAAGGCCCTGCCCTGCCTCTAAATGCAAGCCATCCACGTTCGCCTGCTTCCCAAGGCCCCCTCTCCTTGGCCCGATCACTGTGGAGATGGAGGTGCCTCCTTGAGGGCTCCGGGTTTCCAGGAGGGAAGGGCTGCTTGACCTTGCTCTGCGGAGGCAGGCTAACATAATTAAAGTGAACATCCTGCTTAAACTGAACCATAAAATTGGTACATTAGCCCTGAAGATTCTGGCGTTCTTATTTAAAAAGCAGAAAGGAAAAATCTGGCGGTTAGTACATTCCCCCCAGGGGGATTCAGGGAAGAAGGCGCAACGGGGGGAGCCGCGGTCTCCAGCCACCCGGCCGGGGGCAGGGCGCTTCAGCTCCTCAGTCCCCTGCTCTCTAATTAGGGTTGCTGCCACTGCTATGTACTTCATCAAGCACTTCTGTTGTCAGGTGTTGCTGTTTTTCTTAGTAGCCCACCAGTGGGGGTACGGGCTAGACAGCAAGTGGGGGGGCCAGGTCCCAGACTTTGAGGCAGAGAAGAAGACTGGCTCCGTTCCCAGACCCTCGCTGCCCTTCAGCCCGGTTGTACAGAGAGCATGAACCTTAGGCCAGGGTCTGTACTATGGCCCGGGGTGGGTACCAAGTTAGACCGAAAGTGAGTACGTGCATATAGCTCCACTGGTTTGTTCGTAATGTGCATATATCTCACGTTATAAACCGTGACCGTGTATAGTTTTTACCCACCGATGAAAACTCATTAATTTCCTTAAGTGTCACTTCTATCACTCTGTCAAAACAAAAAATAAAATTAAGTTGAAAATTAAAATAGCCCTGGCCTTAAAGTTTCCGATGGGTCAGGAAAGAAAGAAAAACCTATAAGAAAATGTAAGTTAGGACCTTAGATAGGGCTAGTGTGGTTAGTTCCAGAAGGAGCTCCTGCCTGGTCCCTGGAACCGGTTTGTTGGTCATGCTGAGTGAGGGTGCTTGCCCCTCTCTGCGTCTCAGTTTTCTCATCCCCTGGGATGAGACTCCCTAGAGTTTATAAGCAGTAAAGCCTACTGCCACATCCCCAAAGAATAGAATCGCTGCGTTTCCTAGGGTGGACTCTCGCAGGATCTGTAAATTGATCTCCATGAGGTATTTTTGAGTTTTCTTGTGGTGCTGAGGATTGAACCTGGGGCTTCACACATGCAAGGCAAGCATCTACCACTGAGCTGCATCCCCAGCCCTTTGATTTGCTTTAAATTTGAGAGACAAAGTCTCACTAAATTGCCTAGATAGCCTCAAACTCATGACCCCCTGCCTCAGACTCTCGAGTACCTGGGACTGCAGGTGTGTGCCATCACACCCTGCTGTGTGCTCAGTTCCACTGGACGCAGGCATCAAATAGGAGGAGAGCCCTGAGGCTCCCCCTGGGGCCCAGATGCCTAGATGCTATTTGGAGGTATGGCTGAAGGCTCAGGTGGGACAGTCCACTGCTTCACTCCTGTCAGCTTCTCCAGCCACCCCCAGGTGCGCCCTGCTTGTACCGTGCCTTGCCATTTTCCCTTTAGTGAGCCCAGTAGGGATTATTGGTAGCCTTTCAACAGGTGGGAAACTGAGGCTTAGACGGTCCAGGAACTTGGCCACACAGGCAGTCTGGGAACAAATGAGTCTCCCCTATGTACTGCGGCAGCGCAGCCTACTTTTTTGAATTCTGCAGACCTGATTGTTGCTGTGTACAGCAGCACTGGGCTGTGAGCCTCCTGGGCCCCAGCCCGCCCTCCACATCCGGGCCCTGCACCACCACCCTCCCACGGCCCAAGGCTGGGATGGGGTGGCGTGGGCAGGCGGAGTTAGGAGGAGGCTTTTGCTGCTGAGCTGCTTTTAACATCCCAAGACGCTATTGTTTGCCTCAGTGGGTTCGTTGCCTCTCTTGGTCCCCGACAATCTGTTCCTCTGTCTTCTCACATATATATAGATCCCCTCCCTCCGCTGCAAGCTTTCTCCCACTTTCCATCCTTCTCTTTTTCATCATGTGGGAAGGGAGGCTCTGGAAGTGGCAGATCAGAGCAGTGGCGGGGGAGGCTGTTTGGCAGGGTAGGAAGGGCCTAAGCCCGGCAGACTTTCAGCCTTGGGCGGGGGCACCTTTTTATTTCACTTGGACTTTACCTCTCTCCCCATTGTACCCCAGGAGATGGGCAGGGTGTTGTGGCAGGCAGAGATCCTGCCCCAGGCCTTCCTGCCACTGTCCCTTTCCTCCCCCACCCTAGCATCAAGCATCTCCTTTTGCCCCAAATCTCCCTACTGGCCAGAGCAGGAATAGACCTTGAACCGGCTCTGACATTTGAGAATTGGAAAGCAGATGTCACCAGCTCCCTGGCTCATGCCCTCACTGGGTAGGGACTTTTGGAAGGAGACGGAAGCAGGGTGCCCTTGTATGCAGAGGCCCTTTCAGGGAGCCACCGTGCTAGGCCAAACCGGCCAGTTCCAGGGTGCTGCTGCTGCTACTCCCTTGTGTTTCCTCCACCTGTCTCATGGGCAGTGTAAAGCAGCCCCAGAGGAGGTAGTGTAAAGAGCCCCCACATCCCTCCGAGCCTCAGCAGCCCTGAGCAGGCTCTACACGCACACCCTCTGTCCTCTGCCTAGCACGCCTGGTTTGAAGCTGCAGTCAGACCCGCTGTCTCATCAGCCAGGTTTCGGTGCGTAGCTGTAGTGATAAGGACTCTTTTTGTCTCCTTTTGCTTTTAAGCACAACCACAATACAGTATCACATCTTAGCAACTGACCTACCAGCAGCATCCCCATTTCCCCAGTTTTTCAGGACTGGTACTTTTTATATTTGATCTGTTCAAACAAGAGTCCAAATACAGGCCACATACTACAATGGGTTATTTGTCCCTTAATTCTTAAAACTATTCCATCTTCCTTCCCTCTCCCCATTTTCCTCATGTAGTTTACATGTTGGAGAAACTAGGTTGTTGGAGCTGGGGGCTGCAGCAGAGGCTCTGGGGTAGGGTAGCTAGGCTGCATGTACTCTGCCTGGGGAATGGTGTCATCGCCAGGCCACCGTAGGAATCCTTTTTAGAGCGCCTCCTCGATGGGTGGGCATCTCTGAAGTCAGCCAGAGGAAAGATGGCTCAGCGGGACATTCTGGCTCTGGCTGTGGCTCTGGCTTGGCCTCCTATAGTCTGTGTGGTGTGGGCTCCTTTCTGTTTTTCTGTGGACACTATCCAAGGGAGGTGACACTGCCAACCTCTGCACAGTGAGGGTCAAGTGGACTCCTGTGAACCGTGAGGTGCTGTGCTGGGTCATGGAGATGCGTGGGGTGGCATCAGGCTGGGAGAACTCTGGGTAGCCAGAATGGCCTCTTAACTCCCTGGCTGCCCCTGAGCTCTTTGGATCCTTGCTTTATAAAGCCCTCCCCCACCCCCATCTTCCCCTTCCCCTGGCCAAACCTTTAATCACTTGGGGGGATGTGTTTTGTTTTTGTTTTTCAAGGTGATTAAACCCCCTGTGATTTTTGTCGACCCTAATCGTAGTCCAGCTGGCCCGGCTGTGACCCCCACACAAGCCCAGGCTACAAGTACCCCAAGGAATGCCCAGGCCTCCAGCAGCACTGCTGGGAGCTCCTCCTCTGAGAGCGAGGATGAGGATGTGATCCCTGCCACACAGTCTTCCACTCCTGGTGAGCATGGCTCTGCTGCACCCGGCTGGAAGAGCAGCCGGCACCGCCACCCACTGAGGACAGGACTCTGGCCCCAGTCCCACTAGCAAACCGTTGGTTAGGAGGGCTTGGGTCAGGTCTGTGGGCCGTGCACTGTCACCCGACAAGGGGCTGGCTCAGACTTGAGATTCTGAGGGATTTGTTTCCAAGGCTTCTCTGTGCCAGCTCCAAGCAGTGGGGCCTAGAGCAGATAGGAGCTGGGAGCTGCAGACCAGGATGGGCTCCGCAGCAAGTGACTGACGGGAGCGGGCAGTCGGGGTGGTGGGGAGTATCCCCTCCTTCCAGTGATGAGCAGAGGCACTGCAGTGAGGGACTCCTCTGTCAGCAGAGGACCAGCCAGATCTGGGGTTCCCTTGCCTTCTAAGAGTCTGATTCTGCCAATAATATCACCAGAAAATTTGGTGATATTAAAATTAAAAAGTTAACGTTACTATTATTGTACACTTCAATAAGGAAACATTATCTGATCCTGATAATTAAGAAACACAAGTTAGCACAAAAGGAAAAATATGACTGTAACCCCTCTGCCCAAACTTGAGCAAAGCTCACAGTGCTCCTGTGCGTTTCCAGAGGGAGGCTGCCCTGAACATGGTGCTCAGTCATCCTGGGGGGTGGCCTGCAAACTGGGACGCTGTGGTGCCTGTGGTTTTGTTATCACATAGCTGCACTGTGATTCCTGCTGGCTACAAAGCAGCACGCTGTTCATTCAGCCCGTTCTGCACTGGAGAAAGGGAAGTTTTGTTTTGCGCTGTGAGAAGCAGCTCTCCAGCACCCATGAGAGGCCAGAGCCCGTGCAGATGCCCCAGCGGATTCACCCGAGAGACCATTTGAACTGCAAGGGGTGTCTGACACTGTGTCCTAGCACACTCCTAAGAGTAGCGTCCTGACCAGCTGAGAGGAGAGAGAGTGGGAAGAGAACCTGGGGCCACTGCCACAGCAGCTGTTAGGGGCCCTGAGGCTTGTCAAATGACACAGTGACAGTCCCTGACTGGCAGGCTCGGGGAGGGAAGTGAACAAGCGCCTTACTGTGCATGCCATGGGCTCAGTGCTGGGTCCCCAGGAAAGGGGGGCCACGGGGCTGCTGTGCTCTAATGTGTCCACATCCTCCCTTTCAGCCGGTAGAGCACATGTGCCCGTGCCTGCTGCTTCCACAAGGACAGCCCCCAGAGCCAGCACCAGCGAGGAGTCCAGTCAAGTGTCAGAAGGCAAGAAACAGGCAGCAGTCTCTCAGGTACCTGGGACAAGGGAGGGCTGTGTGGCAGTGGGCGGAGGGCCCCGTGCTCTCATCACATCATGTGCTGTAGGCTGGACCATGGTGGCTTCTCGGCATTGTCAGGAAGAGTGTCCAAGCAGAGCCGGCTGGCTGTGCTTCCGGAGTCCCTTGTTGAGCTTTTACAGCATGGCGGGTCTTTTGTCATTATTCCAGTTTTGAACGCTGTGAACAACAGCTGTCCTTCGTAACAGTTTAGAATGGTGACTGTAACGTTCGCCCCAGCTTTCATCATTTTCAGTGCGTCGTTATCTGGCTCTTGCCTGAATCTAAACTCAGTGGGTGAGGTTCACGGTCATAGTTCCTATGGTAAAACTGAGCACATAGCCCCACCCAAGGGCATGGCTGACCAGGATTGGCCAAGGCCAGAACCCAGGTTTCCTGGCTCCCATCTCATCAAGAAAGAATCCACTGCCCAGCACCCCCTCCCTCTGAGGGAGCAGGAGAGAGCTGCGGTGCACTGGAGAGTCAGTTGGGCTTCACCAGCTACAGCTGAAAGAGCTGCTGGGACGTGGGTGCTGTATAGGGGCCAGGCTGTGGTCACCACACCTAGAGTCCTGCATCCATCAGCCACTCGGCCAGCAGATCGTGCTGAGCGGCAGACTGAGGCAGGGAGGGTCCCTGTCCTCAGGGACATCATGGTGGGCGGGCAGCTGTTAGCAAATGAGCCAAATGGAAATGGAGTCCTTGCAGCTGCCCAAGTCTCTGAGCTAAACAGTGTGAACTAGAGAGTAATGACATGGCCTGCTTTAAGAAGGATGGACGGGGAAGACTCCCTGGAGGGTAAGGGAGCCCCAGCTTCCAGGACCCTCTGGAGAAGCATGTGGGTTAAGGAGAACCAAGAAAAGCTGGAGGGGCTGGGTCGGTGGGCAGGCGGCTGGGCCGTGGCAGGGCCACAGGAGACTAGATACGCTCAAGGAGGCTCATGACCAGGTCCTTCCTAAGCTCTTTCTCCCTGACTGCTGGTGGGTACGGGAAGTAGGAGTGTACTCAGGGAACCCCTAAAAGGTATGGATTGAGTGGTGGGCCTCCTGTGTTCTTGAACTGCATCTCTGCCTTTGGCCAGAGCTGGTTCCTGTGCTCTTTGAGAACAAGGTGATTTGTTCATAACCTGAAGCCTGGCACCTATCTCTCTGCCCACATGATGACGTCACCCCCTTGCCCCCCAATCCCCAGCTCCAGCCCGTGACTTGCCTTGCCAGGGTCTCTCTTACCCCAGCCAGAGGGGATCTAACCAGGCATGGCATAGATGGCGTCTGAGAATTCAAGGTCTCAGGGCTGCCTCTCACTGCCCACAGGTGACAAGGAAGAACCTGGCTTCCCTCCCACTGACTCAGGCTGCCCTGAAGGTCCTGGCCCAGAAAGCTGGCGAGGCCCAGCTTTCAAGTGAGGTGAGCATGAGAAACTAGGGGACCAGATCTGCCTGGCCCTGAGTCCTGCACCAGCCCTTGCCTTGCCTCCCTTGGCCTCAGTGGCCTGGCATGTAGGAAGGAAGGACAGTACCCGAGAGCTGTGGGAAAGACCGGATGTGGCCCAGTGTGTGGTGCGCATGAAGTGCCCGGCCCCTCCACCTCACTTGCCGTTTCTCCTTCCACCACATCAGGCTGGCAGTGCCACGGGAATGCTGCCTGTGACGCGTCCGCAGAGCACCCCTGTCCAGGCCAAAGCAGCCAACACTCTGAGACAACCCAAGCTCTCTGAAGGCCAGCAGAACACAGCCACTCCCTCAGCCCGCCCCAAAGCCAAAGCCCCTGCAAGCTCAGACAGTGAGGACAGCAGTGACAACTCTTCAGGGAGTGAGGAGGATGCCGAGAGACCTCAGATGTCAGCGCCCAGGCTGGGTGAGGATGCCAGAAGGGCCAGGTCTGGGGGTGGGAGTAGGGACAGGGAGTGGCCTACAGAGCCCTAGACCCTGGCCTCAGCGTCCAGCTTGATCTGAGACCTTGACAACATCATTCTTAACTGGGCCTCAGTTTACCTACCTATATGATTTTATGAGGAGGTCTGTCCAGATGATTTCAAAGACCTGACTCAGCTGTTGGGCCACTGGCAGCTTTCTGGTGTCAGGCTCCCTTCACTGACCCCAAGATCCCAGGACTGTGTGCATCCCCCATAGGGAAAGCAAGTAAATGTAGGTAGAGCCTTCGGAGCTAGAAGTGAGAGTGGTGGTGATCGCAGATCTCACCTAGAATGCTGTGGACTGTGCTGAGGTGGCAAGGAGGCATGCCCTGCCCGGTTGACAGGGGCCACTGGGGACACCTGACAGGATACCTTTGCTTCCCCAGCAGGTCCACCCCTCTCCAAGAGGGAGACCTTGGTGGAGGAGACCACAGCAGAGTCCAGCGAGGACGAGGTGGTGGCGCCCTCTCAGGTAACTGCCAGGAGTAGGGTTTGGGGTACAGTCTTAAGCCAAGGTCTTCTCTGAGGTCAGGGGACTGAGCGCCTCCTCTTTCTGGAACCCTGGGCAAGGTCCTACCTACAGGCAGTAGGTGTGGCCTAGCCAGCAGAGAGAGCCCCCAGGCCAGGCATGGTGGTGCTAGGATCACAGGGATTTGAGGCCAGCCTGGGCTACCTACCGAGTTCAAGGATGGCCTGAACTGCTTAGCAAGACCCTGTCTCACAAAACCAAAAAATAAATTCAGGGAGTGAGGAGGATGCCAAGGGACCTCAGACGGCCAAGACAGCGCCCAGGCTGGGTGAGGGTGCCAGAAGGGCCAGGCCTGGGGGTGGGAGCAGGGACAGGGAGTGGCCTGCAGAGCCCTAGACTGTGGGAGCCACGGGTAGCCCTTGAGGTCTGCAGAGAGGATTTACCTGAATTCTAGGTGGTACCCAGAAATGGTGCCACAAGCCTATAATCCTAGCACTTGGGGAATCTGAGGTAGGAGTATCATAAGTTCAAATCCTACGTGGGCAACTTAGCAAGACCCTGAATCAAAATAAAAATAAAAACTAGTGGCTGGGGTGTAGCTCAGTGGTAGAGGCCCCCTGGGTTCAAGCCCGCAGTACTACAGTGATTTTCTATTTGCATTATACTAAGAAGTCTCCCCTTTAAATGCGCCTGTCTAATATTTACATTAAAGTAGTGGAAGAAGCATGTGCCAGAGCAGGACACCCTTGTCCTCAATGCCCACCCCCTGTGCCCAGGACCAGCCTGGCCAGAGGTCCCTACGCATCTTCCAGCGTGCTTCAGGCGCCGGGGTAGGCTCGCAGCCTCATTCACACTGGGCTTCTTCAGTCTCTCCTCTCAGGTTATGTGACACCTGGGCTGACCACAGCCAAAAACCGGGCTTTAAAAACTACTGCCAGGCGGGAGTCAAACCCTGAAGCTTCCTCTGCTCCACCCACCAAAGGTGACCCAGCCAGCGAGCAAGCAACAGAGTCAGAACACACAGTGGGCACCGTGTCCCTTAAACCAGGTCAGTCGCGGACCCCTTCTTATATTCTCACCAGCGTGGTCCTCTCTGGCGCCAGTGCCTCCAGGTGGGGCTGTGTCGTGCGTGGGACGCGGAGGTGGAGAGCTAGCGCAGCTGTAGGTTGGCGTCCACCCTAAAGGAGGCCATGTTTTTTGTCTCTGCTGTCTTTTTCCCTGCAAATGGATTCATGGTGTGGGGTGTAGGGACTCAGAGCATGACTCAGACTGACTCCAGATAGGAGCCCTGTTTTGGGGAGTCAGCACCCCAGGGCTGCCCTGCCTCACTCTAAGCCTGGACAGGCAGCTGGCTACCCTGGGCGTCTGCATCCTAACCACAGAAGGTGGCAGTGATGCTGCCACTCTACCCCAGGGTGTCAGACAGAATGTAGTCACCTGGCACGGGACAGGAGGGCCCGGGGACACCATTGGTGAGACTCAGCGTGTGGCATGGAGTGCTCCCCTAGGCTCCTGCTTAAGGTGGACACTTTCAGGAACAAACCGCTGAGTCCCCTTACAGCCAGTATCAGAGCTGTGTGCCCGTGCTGCCCAGAACAGGGCAGAGACCTGGCGCGGTCACCTGGGAAGTTCGAGACATGATGGGGCCCAGCCTCGGGCTTTCAGCTGCAGCTTCCCTGTGCTGGGTTAGAAGCAGTCGTTGCTCACTTCCCCAGTGTTCTTCTCTTTGTGAGAGGCGGGTGCCACCAGGAGACATTTTAGAGGGGGCTGTGGAAGGTTTTTTTTTACACGTGTAGTCAGCACACAATTATCAAAGGCAAGCAGAGGCGTGGAAAATTCTAAACAAAGGCAGCACCAGAAGTCCCTCTGGCAGGCAGTAAACCCGCTTAGTCAGCCGCCATGTGCTTTCCCAGCACATGCAGCGCTTCTGCATGCTGCCGGGGCCTGGCCAGGAGGGCGAGGGCACACGGGGTTCACAGCATGTGAGCCGAGTGTCTTCAGGGGCTTGGCTTATATCACAAACCCGCAGTTGATAACCCGCAGTTGATCCCTGTTCCCCATCCAACTCACTTTACAGCCAGGGAAAGTAGGGCCCAGAGAAGAGCGGGGCGTGACAACTGATTGGTAGTAAAGTCAGATGCAGGACCCAGATCTCCCAGCTTTAGGCTCCTGACCAGGCCACACCATCTCCCTCTTGTTGCACCTTCATCTTGTTGCTAGATTTCTGGTCCTCTCCTTAATTCTCCGTGGGGTTACTGTCCATCCCCAGCCCTAACCTGAGCAGAGGTTTTGGTGTGAGGAGACACAGCTTCTAGGTTAGAAATGAGATCCTGGTGTGAGGAAGGCGGGAGAGCTCAGGAGACCAAATGGGACAGTGACCACTGGGCCTGAGCCTTCCCATCTGCAGTGTTGTCAGAGGAGGTGGCCTCTCTCTCCACAGGAAGGAAAGAGGCTGTCTCAGACCCCACACCTAAGAAGCCCCGGAAGCCCAAGAAGAAGGCAGCAAGCACTGAAGCCTCCCTGCAGGTGCTGCAGAACAGCATCACCCAGCACCTCCTGGGCCAGCCCTGGCCCCTGAACGAGGCGCAGGTCCAGGCCTCGGTGGCGAAGGTCCTGTCCGAGCTGCTGCAAGCCACAGACACTGCCAGGGAGAGCAGCAGGAAGGGCCGGAAGCGGAAGCTGTTGGGGGACCAGGTGGCCTCCAAGGCTCCCAAGGGCAAGAAGAAGAAGCAGCTGGCAGCTGTGGAAGGCAGGGAGGGTGCTGCTTCCTCAGAAAAGGCCGCAAGGACTTCCAAGGGGAAATCAAGAGGAGACAAAGCAAGTGGTGACACCAAGGAGAAGGGATCTCCAGGCTCTGGAGGGGCCAAGGCCAGGCCTGAAGGGGAACTTCTGAAGGTGGAGGGTGGAGATCAGAATGACCCAAAGAGCAAGAAAGAGAAGAAGAAATCCAACAAGAGTAAGTGTCCTCGCTTCCCCAGGCCCATGCTGAGGGTGTTAGGCCACACGGGTGGCAGGGATCCTCAGTCACCTCCTAGTCTTACTCCTCCGTGTAGAGGGAACATGGGGAGAACTTGATTCCAAAACACTGGCTCCAGTACCATGGCCTCTCCCATAAGCAGAGTACTGTCCCACCACATCCAGCAGCCACATAGGCTTCCACTTCAAGCTTCTGGAAGCTCAGCTTGGGCTCCAGCCTGACAAGGATAGGAAATGGTGTCCTCTCTCCCTTTGGCCCAGGTCTGCAGATCGTTGAGGAAGCCTCGTCCTCTTTTGTGTTCCAGTTCCCCTAGTTTCCCTTTAGCAGCCCTTCCTGAGCTCTGTGCTAACATCAGCACTATCCTTCTGTCCTCAGACCAGCCCTGTGCTCTAGGGAGATTTTATCCCCATTTTCCAGGTAGAAAATGGACTTAGAGAAAGAGAGGCTGCTCGGGGTGACAGGGTTTTACTGAGTGGAGCCAGTCCTCTGAAGCACTGCCCACTTGTGGCCTAGGTGAATAAGGCCTTGGATGCCCAATGACCTCACTGCTCCAGAGCCAAGGAGGGGGCCACCCTCAGGGCGGCACCTGAGCTGTCTGTTCATGCCCAGCCAGACCTTTTCTGAGTTCCCACTTTGCTTTTTAAATAACTGTATGGAGTTTTGTTTTGTTTTTATTTTTGGTACCGGAAATCAAACTTAGGACCTTGCACTTGCCAGACAGGCACTTGTGCCACTGAGCTATATCCTTGGCCTGGAGTTTTTAAAGTGAGTTAATTTAGGGTTAGGGATACAGAGCAGTTGTTGAGCATTTGTCCGGCATGCTGAGGCCCTGGGTTTGACATTTAGTACCATTAAAAAAAAAAGAAAAAAAAAAAAAAATAGCCATCGTCCATGTGTTCCAGGGATGAGAAGAAATCATGAAGTTGGCCCCCAAAGGCCTTTTTTGATGACTCCCCATGGGGTGGAGAGAGCTGAGTGGCCCTCCCCGGGGGGGCCTCCAGACACTGACTTAAGCATAGGGCTGACAGGAAGCGTACCTTCTTCCCTCAGAAAAAAAAGACAAGGAGAAAAAGGAAAAGAAGAAAGCAAAAAAGGCCTCAGCCAAAGACTGTGACTCACCATTCCAGAAGAAAAAGAAGAAAAAGGTAGAATGAGTTCCTGAGGGGGTCTCAGGCCAGAAAAGGAACCCAAAACAAGCCCTAGGGTGAATGTGAGCCCTTCCAGCACCCAGATCGTGTCTCTGCTCCCTTTCCCATCTTGAGCTGCGAAAGGGGACCTTGTGAGGAAGAGGGCAGACAGTGTGCCCCTCCCCCAGCCTCTGGAAGCCTCAGTCCTCCTCCGCCGAGACAGAGGGTGTTGGGCAGTTGGGCGGAGGTAGATGCAGGAAAGATGTAGGCTGTTGTAGGCTCCAGGTAAGAGGAGGCATTAGCAGCGCCGTGCACCCTGGCCAGCAGGGTGTCCCCACAGAGAACCCTTACCCATCCACTTAAGGTCCCCTGAATACAGCCAGCGTCCCACTCACTGTGCTGAGGAAGCTGAGCAGGACCCTCAGGCTGCTTCCAGGAGGGAATACAGGCACCACCCATCCCGAGATCCCAGTAGATCCCCTGCATGTTCTGGGCAAGCTGCCGGTCCTCAGCAGTTAGGCAGCCGTGGAGGAGGGAAAGGCAGGGACCAGACTTGTCACTCTTCTCTCCTCACAGAAGATAGCAGAGCCGCCGACGACGGTGTGAGGGGCCGGGCACCAGGTGCAGGTACGCTTCCTGACCTTGCTGTCCTTCCCTCCCACGGCCAGGCAGGCTGGAAGGAAGGAGGGTGGGGAGAGAAGTTCCGTTCCCCAGGGTTGGTGGGGCCCATGGGGCAGTGTCAGGAGCTGGTGCTGCAGCATCATAAGATCCAGAACAGCAGTGGCAGTGGCCACACCAGTGCTGAGAGCAATTAGTCGGTGCCCGCCTCTCCCCTGCCTCAGAGGGCTTTATTCTCCTTGGTGAAGAGAAAGGTTCAAACTCTGACTTCTGGCTGTTTCCTCCCTCCAGGAACTTCTTAGTGGAGTGGCGACCAGCCCGGGCCTCTGCCTTCTGCCTGCCGGGGCACGGGACTAAATTCTGAACTTGCCCTCCCTTCACAGAAGACAACAGCCAGCCATGGGGTCCTGGTGCTGGCCAGGCCAGTGGGCCCGCGGGGGCCGGTCGGGGAGAAGTGGCCCTGCCTGGGCCCTCACCACCCCTTCCTCCCCACAGGCGCTTCTTAGAGATGTGTACAGTATATATATTTTTTTAAATGACCTGCCTCCTTTGCCTCCAACACACCCCAAGGCCTCAGGCCTCACACTGTGCTCTCAGGCGCAGCTGTCGTGTGCCACGTGGGCTCCGGCTGATCCTGAGGCTTTGTCCTCTCCTGAGAACTCAGAAATAAAATTTTGAGTTGAAGGAAAGGCGCAAGCTCCAGTGCATCTGGGCCGGGGGCTGTGCATTGGCTACATGGATGGTTGGCCGGTGCCTGGCAGCGGGTGGGCAGTGCCCCAGCTTCCTCCCCTGTGGGGGACGAGCTTGGGTACCACATGAGGCAAGGCATCAGTGGGGTTGCTAGGGGCTGACTGGGTGGGACAGGCTTCTTGGAGGAGGTGGCAGCTAAGGTAGGGTTGCTCTTGGTGTTTTCTGGAAGCTGGAGTAGCTCACAAATCCCAGAAGTGAGAAATGGCAGGGGCCTTAGAAACCATCTTCAAGGGGCAGAGCTAGGGCGAAAGCAAGCTCCTGAGGGTGGTGGTGGAGAACTAGGAGAGCACATGGGGCAGGAAGAAAAGTTGGGAATTACGGTAGATGAAGGACAGGGGGAGGCTGTTTCCAAGCCCTGAGCAGTGTGGAGCACTGGCAGTGGTGGCTGCTTGCTGCGGTGCTCAGTCTCCTGGAGACCGCAGAGGCCAGAGCAGGAAAAGAGGTCTTGGAGCCTCAGGCCACTCCCTCCCCTCCCACAAGTGTGCTGGTCTGGAGAAGGCAGAGAAGTGACCTCATTGGCTATGATGACCCACAAAAGTTTTTAAACTTCACAAGTGGAGCAGTTTTACCAACACTTTTTTTTTTGGTTTTTTTCCGGTACTGAGAATCGAACTCACGACCTTGTGCTTGCCAGGCAGGCACTGTGCCGCTGAGCTAAATCCCCAGCCCCTCGCATTCTTGGTTTCTGTCCTTGAGCTTAAGAAGTCAACAAACCTGGCGGGGGTTGAGGGGGCCACCTTCCTGACAACAGCTGGCTGCAGCTGAGGAGTGGGTCGGAGGTCCGGCGTGGATCCCAGTCCTCCGCAGCCCCCACTTCCTGTCCATTCTTGACACCAAGGCCCTGTGTCTGCTGCCATCTGTCATCACACTTGTGCTGTTCTTAGTATAGAAATGGAATTGGGGACATGGGAAAATGGAACCTGGACCAAGATGAGATTGTGCTTAAAAATTACAGACAAGAGTCTGTTTCTTCTTGGAAGTAAAGAGTATCTGAGTGTGTGAAAATGTGTCTGTGTCCAAAGACTGCAGCCCCAGCTGCACAGGCCTCTGTGTCAGGGCCCCTTGGGCTGCATTCCAGCGCCCCAGCTAGATTAGGGGCTTCACTGACCTTAGGATAAACGAAGTGTAGCCCAACAGAAGAGCCAGAAGCCAGGTATTCTACCTAACTCCTTTTATTCTTATGTAAGCCATGGCCCTACAGCTGACAACAAGCATGGCTAAGCAGCAGGCGGGGGGGGGTGCTGAGGGGAAGGGCTGGGTTTGTACTTGGGGAGTGATGTAGACGAGGGCAGCAAATGTGTCCAGCCTACGGTTTAGGAGTGGGGTGTCCCTTTGCCCTGTCCATGAGTCTAGATCTCAGAGCCCAACACTGGATCCTGCTGTGGTGTCAGGAATGTGGGGGGCGCCTGGTTTTGGTCCACATCGGGCTTTGCATCCCTGTGGGCAGATGGTGGGGAGGGCGGCAGGGTCCTCCTGTTGTCATCAGTGCTGTTTTGATCGCATGTCTGAGGATGACTGATGGGAAGCCAGACACGCTCAGCATCTCGAGGGATGAGAGACATTGGGGGAGCGGGGGTCCGGGGAAAGGGGAAGGACTGGTAGTGCAGGGCAGCAAGAAAGCCATGGCCGGCCGTGCAGAGCTGGCAGGATGCTGGCGGTAGTTTCTGCTGTCCTTACATGATGACTGGAAAGAAAAGCAACGGTTGGGGTTGGGGTTGGGGTTGCTCCTTTGTTGTCCCCACCCCCTCCCAGCATCCTGGGGCCATAGAGCAATCAGGGACTGTCCACCTGCCACTGCCCCCTGCCCCTCTGCCCCAGCCCTGCCGCTCATCTGTCAGGTCACCCCAGGCATGTTGGAGAATGACAAGATGAGCTCCCTTGTGAAGCCCTTACCTGGGCCCAACTCCTGCTTGGTCACACCCAGCCCGGAAGACGGATCCTCAGCCTCCAGAGGCTCTGCAAAGGAGCAGCAGGTCCCTATTATCACACTCGCCCCCCACTGGCAAAGTGCCTGAGGAGGGCACTCTCCCCAGGGCGGGCAAGGCGGGACCTGCGGAGGCAGTACGCAGAGCAGAGGGCCAGTGGACTGGAGTGAGCAAGGAACTGGGGTGCACAGGACTGGGCGCAGGAAGACCGCGTGCAGGTAGATATGTGGACGAGGAGACATGATCAGGCAGTGCGTGGATGAAGGGCAGGTGCCTGGCTGTTGGGAGCTGCCCAACCCAGTGTCCAGGCCCCAAATGGCAAAGAGGGACCCGTTGCCATTCAGCCTTCCTAGTCCTGCCTGGTCCTTCCATCTGGGGGCATGGTGGCCCCTGCTTACCACTGCAGTTATGGTGCCCGCGGCTCCTGGTGTGAGGGACCTCGGTGCCGTTGGGGAAGACGCACCAGCAGTAGCCGGTGCTCCCGTGGCACTGGAGCGGCATATAGTTGCCTTTCTCATCACACTGGGGACGGAACGTGCCCGGATGGACAGCAGGGATGTGGCTGACCTCTTCCTGGCACTTCGACAGTACTGAAGCGACAGGCATGGTGGACACAGTGAGTGAGTGGGCCTAATGCCTTGTGGCTTTACTCACTCTACCCGCTGCAGAGAGGAAAACATGCCTGCAGCCTAGACCAACAGGGAAGTGCATGACTGGCTGGTTCACCACAGGACAGGACTCTTCTGACACTCAGAGGCTGTTAAAGTCTGGAATTGCACCTGGATTTCCAGAGGAAAGCAGTGGACCCCTGGGGCAGTCTGAGCTTCCTGTTGCTGGGACAGAAAGTACCTAGGTAGAAACTATTTGTTGGGGAAGCTGTAGGGTAGATTTAGACATCTGCTAGGAGTTGGTGAAGGTAGCCTCTTAGGTCCCGTGGATGGTTTCAGATAGAGAAACCAGCCCAGGGGGATGAGCCGTTGACCTTCCAGTCCAGGACACTGAGGCCCAGAGGGAAGAGAGTTGCCCAGCGTTGCAAATTAGAGGCAGCGCCAGGATGAGAACACGGTGCTCAGAAGCCTGGTGTAAGCTGTCATGAGATGGGAAAGGCCTGAGGCCCTCTGGCCTGAAACTACCGAGGGCAGAGCCAGGGGGACAGGACAGGGTCCCTCCTGGTTTGTTCTGGGCTGTTTTACCCCAGGCCCTCTTGCACAGTGTCCTCCAGTGAGAGCCAGCCTGGGGATGGAGCCCCTGTACCCCCTGGGCATTCACAATGGGAAGAACGGACCTGTAGCTGAGATGGAATGGGGACAGCGGGACCCCGAAGGAGCGGGCAGGAGTAGCAGGGTGGAGAGGAGCAGGGAACGCCAGAGGCCCTGGCCTCAGCAGTTCCACAACAGCCCTGGCGGCCAAGCACCCACTCCCTGTACCTTTGGGCGGCGCCTCGGTGGGCTTCTCCTCCAGGGAGTTCCTGCTCATTTCGAACAGGAGCCAATGGTGCATCCAGCTTTCGAAGACCTAAGGGAGACAGAGATGGGGCTCAGGCTCAGTACACATCACCAAGCCCCTGCCCCACCTGGCTTTGCACCTGGGGACAGAAACATGGGGAGCCAGATGGCCAGGCACACGGCTGGGCATCTGAAGTCCAGCTGCAGCGTGGTCCCCCTTAAAGGCCCCCCGGGGGGCTCTGGACATCAAGCATTCTTCAGTGTTCTGCCGGCAAGCCTCCCCACAGCTTCCTGAGAATGGTGCCCCCAACCCTCCCCTCCCACCCCCTTTCCAGCCTTGCCCAAGATAGACATTGCAAAAGAGAAGGTTCCAGTGCAGGGAAACCTGCTGACCTTCCAGTCCAGGCCCTCCATGGTGCTCTTGAGGTGTTTCAGGTTCTCAAGGAAGCTCCCCTTCAGCTGGGGGTATACCTTCAGAGGGTCAGACTTCTGCAGAGCGGCAGGGCAAGAGGAAGGGTTAAAAAAGAGCTCCTGGGCAGCCAGGGTGAAATGTGCCACCTGCAGCCCCCTGGTCTCCCTTTCCGAGGAGTGGACCTTCACAGCACCAAGCCTGGATATGGGATCTTGGCCATCCAGCTGTAGCCACAGGCCCCTGGGCTGGGGTGAGGTTTGTGCTGTAGAGCAGCTCTATTCTGCACCCCAGTCTTCCTAAAGACCCTCATGCTCAGGTCCCTCCTCCAGGAAGACCTCTTTACCTACCCCATGAGGCTGGGGTCTTCTGCCTCTTCTCTCACAAAGCCACCTGCACGTCCCTTGTGCCCTGATCTCCCTTATCAGCCTGGGGGTCCCATGAGCTCAGTTACTGCCCATTTGGGCCAGCAGCTTTGCACAGTGCCTGGCACGGACCAGACTTGCAGTACAGATTTGGAAAGAAGAAAGTATCATAAGTCACTCCCAAGAGTTCACCCTCAGTTTCTCCATCTCAAAAACATGGCGTCAGGGAGGCTCCACATAACACTGAAGGCCACTGTCGTGTTCCTTTGGGGGTCATGCGATGAGTCACAACGAGCCAGGCACACGTGGGCTCCCTGCACTCACCAGGAGCGTGTGCATCACGTGGTCCTGGGTCGTGTTGCCGTACTTGGTGGCATTCTGCATGGGCTGTGGAAGGAGGGAACAGAGGGAACCCATGGTAGCCTCAGAGGAGTGGCCCCCAGTAGGAGCCAGCAGTTGGGCCCTGGGTAAGAGCCAAGTCCCACCTCTCAGCAGGGCCACCTCACCACCTTGAATGTGTTCCTGCACCCTCCTGCCCTGAGGCCCTCACTGTTCACCCTGGCATCAGCTTTCCTGCCCAGGGCTTCACCATCAGCAGTGTTGTGAGTAGAAACAACTACAATGCAGTTACCAGCGAAGGGAGTGGAAGATGGTGGGGACAGTGGGAGGCACTGGAAACTGGCAGACTGGGTCCTGCTCTTGCCCGACCACCCTGGGCCGCCTCTTCCAGAGCTGGGCCCTGCTCCTCCCAGCAGTTAGACCTTATTGCCAGCTGGCCATTCCTGGGTCAACTGTGTCCCTCCCACGTGCTGGGGCTGTCCTTACCCCCTGGAGCAGGCCTTCCATGGGCAGCGCCCGCATCAGCAGGGGGGTGGCCATCCGCATCTGGCTCACTGGCTTGGAAGCTGTGGGCAGGAAGCGCGGCATGAGTGTGGTTCCAGCCCCCTGGCAGAGAGCACCCAGGGAGACGGCAGTGGGGCGGGAATGGGGTCTCGGGGAGGAGTGACGGGTTGGGGAGGGGGGGGGGTAACGCACTCTTGGGGAGTTTCATGCGTAGGTTCTCCAGCTGCAGGTTCTGTGAGGTGACCGTCAGCTTGTCCAGCCGGCCCTGCTGCTGATACAGGAAGTAGGCAGTGGTGGCCTGGCCAGCCAGAAGCAGAGCCACCAGGACAGAAAAGCCTGTGTATAGGGCTCCACGGCTGCATTTGCTGCAGGGAGAGGTGGGGAATAGATCAGAGGAGAACCCAGAGAGCTGCCCCAGGGTTGGCCTGGGGTCCCTGCTGGACCTCTCAGCCACCCCTCACAGACACACACAGATTAAGCCCACATAATAAGCTGGCTATGGAAATGCAGCTTGAAGCACCCCCACTCCTTCCAACCACTGATGCTCCTAAACCCTGCCTAGCAGAAATCCTGGAGCAGCCCCTGGGCAGGGGTAAATGGGAAAGAGCCAGGGCACGGTTCCATGTCTTCTCTGGAATTTGAGGTCCTACCTGTGCAGTGACAGAACAAGGGGAACTCCCCAGTCCCCTTTGCCTTGGGAGTCTTCCCAGGAGCAGGGCTGCCCTCAGGAGGGAGCCAGTAGGGTTTTTTATTTTGTTTGTTTTTTCTTTTCTTTT